AAAATAACAAATTTACTCATCGATAGGAGTCGATCACACATAAGCTGTGCCTGGATCAACTACACGCTGGGTTACAACTCCTCCTTTTATAGGGTTTCACAGACTTGACTTCATTTGGGTGGTTACATTTCATTCTCACAGTTCAATCACAGTCACAGAATAATCTTTTCAACCCAGATGTAACAGTTCTTTGCAGTTGGGGAATTGACCTTTAAGATTCACCTAGTTATCTCTTCTAGTCCATAGGAAGGGGGGGTGTTCGGGGTCAGGGAAGCAAATGTTAGCAATGGGTTCTTTCATCTAGACACCTTAGGATCATGTGGCTCTAGTCTCATTGGAGCTCAAAACCTTGATGTGCCCTGTTATCTCAGGGTAAGACCAAATGCCTCATTCAGCAATTAGTGCCTTCAGTGCCTATTAGTTTTGAGCTAAACAAACAAACTGCTGTTAGAGACAGCAGAAGCCTCTTTAATTCTAGTTCTTTGAGGTATCTCCATATTGATTTCCATAGTGGTTGCACCAGTCTGCACTCCCACCAACAATGAAGAAGGGTTCCTTTCTCCCCACAACCCCACCAACATTTGTTACTGGTTGATTTCATGATAGCAGTCATTCTTTCTGGGGTTAGGTGGAATCCCAGTGTTGTTTTCATCTGCATCTCTCGAATGACCAGTGAGGTTGAACATTTTTTATATGTTTATTTGCTGCTTTTGCTTCTTTGTCTGAGAAATGTCTGTTCATTTCAGATGCCCATTTTTGAATCAGGTCTTTATATTTGGGAGGCCTGATTTTATTTTATTTTTTTAGTTCTTTATATATTCTAGATAACAGTTCTTTGTCTGAGGAGCTGCTGGTAAGTTTTTTTTCCCACATTGTAGGTTGTCTCAGCTCTGTTTGTGGTTTCTTTTGTAGTGAAAAAATTTTTTAATATGATGAGATCCCAGTTGTTGATTCTTTGTGCTAGTTTCCCTGCTACTGAGGATTTGTTCATTAAGTCTTTTCCTATGCCAATGTCTTCAAGAGTTCGGCCCCACTTAGCTTCTAGAAAATTTAGCATTTCTTTTTCGATATTTAGATCTTTAATCCACTTGGATTTTAGTTTAGTGCACGGTGAAAGATAAAGTTTTAATCTTTGTCAGGTTGAAATCCAGTTTTTCCAACACCACTTATTAAAGAGACTGTCTTTCCTCCCCTGAGGATGGTTGGCGCCTTTGTCAAAGATGAGGTAACTGAGTACATCTGGAGTTGTTTCTGTATCTTCCAATCTATTCCATTGATCTTCAGGTCTATCTCTTTGCCAGTACCATGCTTTCTTTTTTTTTTTTTTAACCACAGTGGTTTTGTAGTATGGTTTCAAATTGGGAGTTGTTATACCCCTGTCATGTCTCTGTTGCCTAGAATGGCTTTTGCTATTCTAGGTCTCTTCTGGTTCCAAATGAATTTTTGGATTATTTTCTTCTACTTCTGTGAAATATCCTGTTGGAATTTCAATCAGAATTGCATTGAATCTGTATAGCAATTTTGTTAGTATGGCCATTTTCACTATGTTGATTCTTCCCACCCAAGAGCAGGGAATATCTTTCTATTTTCTTATATCCTCTTCAATTTCTTTTTTCAGATTGCTGTAGCATTCAGTGTAGAGGTATTTTGATTCTTTTGTTAAATTGATTCCTGGATGCTTCATTTTTTTGGATGCTATTGTGAAAGGAGTTGCTTCCCTAATTTCTCTCTCAGTGAGTCGGTTATTTGTGTACAAGAAGGCTATTGAATTTTGAGTGTTGACCTTGTATCCAGCGATTCTGCTGAAAGTGTCAATTAAGTCTAGAAATCTTTGGGTAGAGATTTTTGGCTCCTCTGTGTAGAGTATCATATCATCAGCAAATAATGACAGTTTAACTTCTTCCTTTCCTATCTTTATTGCTTTAATTTCTTTCTAATGTCTGATTGCTGTGGCTAATGTTTCCAGAACTATATTGAACAGGAGTGGTGATAGTGGACATCCTTGTCTTGTTCCTGATTTCAGTGTGAAGGTTTTTAGTGTATGGCCATTTAATATGATGTTGGCTGTTGGTTTTTCATAGATAGCCTTTATCAAGTTGAGATAAAGATCATTTATGCCAATTCTCTGCAGGGTTCTTATCATGAATGGGTGTTCAATTTTATCAAATGCTTTTTCTGCATCTATTTTGATGATCATATAGTTTTTGTCCTTGGCTCTGTCAATATAGCATATTACACTTATTGATTTATGTATATCAAACCATCCTTGCAGTTTTATTTATTCATCAAAAAAAATTTTTTTTGGTACCAGTCATTTAACTTGGGTTCTTGCACTTGTGAGGCAGGTGGTATAACCACTGAGCTAAATCTCTGGCCCAAAAACAGTTTTAAAAGGCAAAAAACGAAGAAAGAATGAAGGGAAATAAAGGAAGGAAGAAAGAGAAAGAATGAAAAGAAAGAAAGGAAGGAAGGAGGAAAGGAAGAAAGGAAGGGAAAATTATTTTTCATTGTCCTGGATGCTGGCAAGTCCCATATCACAGTACCAGCCCAGGAGATTGTCTGCTATGTCACCCACAGCAGGGGGTAGAAGGACAAGAGAGCTCAGGAACTTATCCTTTCATCAGGAACTGTACTGGGTTGTATCTAGTTGTCCCTCCCAAAGCCTCATGTGCTCCTAGGTGGGGCTTCTCAGTAGTGACTGGATCTAGGGTGTGTGAATATGGATTAAAAGTGTGTGATAACTAAAGTAGTTCACTGCTTGGGTTAGTGTAGTTCTGGATGTGATTAATGGGAAGGGCCAGCATGGGTGTGGTTGGCACCATCCAATAGGCTTGCAGCCTCAATGGGATAAAAGGGAAAGGGAGGCTTGGTACTGTTTCCTGTTTTCTGCCTGCCCTGGCATGAACTATTTCTCCTCTGCTGTGACCCTCTAAGATGCTGCCCTGCCTTGGAGCCAGCCAACTATGGACTAAAACCTCTACAAACTGAGCCAAATTAAAGCTTTCCTCCTTAAACTTATCAGTGTAGGGTACTGTGGCTCACTGATGAAAAAAATAACTAAGACAAGAGCCCACTGTGCAATACTTAAACTTCTCTGAAGACAGTGGCACTCATTCAATCACGAAGGCAAAAACCTTATGATCAAATCACCTCATAAATGTTCTGTGTCTTAGCACCATGATGAGGGAAATTAATTTTCAACTTGAGTTTCATAGGGGGCAAACTAAAGCATACACAGTACTGTGACCTATGTGTGTTAAGAACTATATATTAAGACTACGTGTTCCATGCACACAATTTTTTGTTGTTGGCTATTTCTTAATTAAGTGAAATTTTGAAAGACTTTTATTATTAGTGTAATTCAACTTTTAAATTGATAGTGCACATTGTCACAAAAGGAACATAACTACCTAGCAATAGATTTTGTTTTATTACCAAAAATTTCTTCATCTTCCCAAAGCATTGTAAAATTTTTATTATTAAGAATGACATATACTTCTTTGCCTGAGAAATGTCTGTTCATTTCAGATGCCCATTTTTGAGTTGGTCTTTATATTTGGGAGGCCTGATTTTTTGAGTTCTTTATATATTCTAGATAACAGTCTTTTGTCTGAGAAACAGATGGTAAAATTTTTTTCCCACATTTTAGGTTGTCTCTTGGCTCTGTTAATGGTTTCTTTTGCAGTGCAGAAGCTTTTTAATAAGATGAGCTCCCAGTTGTTGATTCTTTCTGCTAGTGCCTGTGCTACTGAGGACTTGTTCATAAAGTTTTTTTCTATGCCAGTGTCTTCAAGAGTTCTGCCTAACTTATCTTCCAGCAGATTTAGTGTTTCTTTTTTGATGTTTAGATTTTTAATCCACTTGGATTTTAGTTTAGTGCACGGTGAAACATAAGGGTCTAGTTTTAATCTTTGGCAGGTTGAAATCCAGTTTTTCCAACACCATTTATTAAAGAGGCTATCTTTCCTCCAGTGAGGATGGCTGGGTATCTTTCCAAAAGAATTAAAAGAATCACACACAGTGATATAAGTGCACCCATGTTTATACCGGCACAGTTTGTAATAGCTAAAACTTGGAAACAGCCCAATTGCCTATCAGTTGGAGACTAGATAAAGAAGAGGTGATTTTTCTATAAAATGGAGTACTACCCAGCCATAAAGAATGAGAAAGTAGAGTCATTCATAGCAAAATGGATGAGTATTGAGGCATATTCTTAAGCAAAATAAATAAGTCACACATGTTTAAATACCAAATAGCTTCTCTGGTGTGAAAAACTAAAAGTGTAAGTAAGATCCAAATGGTATAATTGACAATGTGAAATAGGAAGAAAAGGACTGAAGGTGTAGGGGAAGTGGGAAGGTTAGGGGAAAGGAAATAAGGGATAAGAAAAATATGAGAAAATGAAAAAATGGAAAAAAAGTTTTTATAAATAGGGAAGGGAGGGCAGGGGTATGGGGAAAAATAAGAACCAAGATCTGTCATGTAAAGGTACAAGATCCCAATGATGAATGTAACTGTACTGTATACCTAAAATGTACCAATTAACCGAATGAGAGAGAGAGAGAGAGAGAGAGAGAAAGAATGACATGTAGCCAGGTGTGGTGGTGCACACCTGTCATCCCAGTACTCTGAAGGCTGAGGCAGGAGGATTGTTATGAGTTTGGGGCCAGCCTGGGCTGCATAGTTCAAGGCCAGCCTGAATTACATAGCAAGACCCTGTCTCAGAATAAAAAGAATGACATATATTTTACACAAACTTATTTGCTTGTATATTTTTCACATAAATAAATTTTTACTGTGTTTATTTGCCTGTTTTTAGCAATTGCCTTAATATTTCATAAAATATTTTAGATAATGTGGAGTTGAATGCATTCAGTTATAAACTGTCTTTCTGAAATCATTTTCAGGCAACAAATTTCAGATTGAAATTCTGTTCTCTAAATAAAACATAACCTCATGAACTACAGTTTATTAGTATATGGAATTATAATAATGGCATGTTATGATTTATTTTAATACTAATTCTTCCATTCATTTGATCATTTATTCACCATATCAAAGAAGGCAAAATAGGCCGGGAAAATTTTCTTAGACACTGAAGCTCTGATTCAAACACTGAAGTTGAATTGTCAATAGGCCCAGACTCCATAGGAAGGCTCCTTTTTCTGAAGCTAATAAAATCCAGAGTGCCTCAACTGGAAACAAGTCAAATGGCCCACGTTGATCATTTTTCTGTGTCTTGATGTGTTTTCTGTTGCTATACCAAAATGCTTGCTGCTGCTGGATAGTGTAAAAAGAAAAGAAGTTTATTTTGCTTGTAGTCTAGACACCATCACCAGGTCTAGGAGGAGCTAGATGATTAACAGCATCACTATATCAGAGATGTGTGTATGAGATCCCATGGCGAAACAGGAAGCCAGAGAAATTAGGGGCTGGGTTTTCTCTTTATATCAACTCGTTCTTGGGAGAGACAACTGCGGTTCCAGAACGACACAAATCCCTCCTAAAGGCAGTGCTTCCGGTGATGTAATTACCTTGCACTGGGCTGTACCTCTTAAAGTTTCCATGACCCCCCAACCTTGGCCACACTGAAGACCAAGCTTCCAACACAGAAACCTTTGTAGGACACATGCAAGCCAGATCCAAACACAGCACATGTAACCGGATTCACAAGCCATCACTTAAACTGTCAACACCAGAAGAAAAGGAACCACAGAGTCACCCATGAGATCATTTTGTTTGTCAGATTGAGTGGATAGAAAAAAATGCCTCGGGAACTAGAAAAGCACACTTCTGGATTGTTGTGCAGATGTCTCCAGATAAACTGGCATGCGGGACAGTACAGCTGAGAGGTGAGATAGCCCTGCGTGTGGGCAGCACCATTCAATGAGGTGGGGGCCCAGATGGAACGGAATTGGAAGAAGGAGAAAAGTCACTAACTCGGGCTTTTTTCTTTTCTTCTTGCTTCCTAGCAACCATGGGGTGAGCAGCTTCCTTACTCCATGCCCTTTTGCAGTGATGTTGCGGCCTTGTTATGGGCCTAAAATCAGCAGAGCCAACTGACCATGGCCCAAAACCTCTGAAACCATGAGCCAACCAATTATCTTTCCACCCTGAGGTTGTTTTTCTCAGGTATTCAGGCACACAATGAAAAGGTGATGAGTATAGTGTGCAGCCATGACTCTATGCTGTTAAGCAGAGGACGTGGAGGAAGACAGACAGGGGGACAGCCAGACTAACTGCCTTTCAACAATTCCCTTCCAGTTTGTGGAATGTCACAAACATGCCCTACTCACAGGCAGCAAAAGTTACCTTGACCCTGAGCCTAGCACAGCACAAAAGCCAGAAAGTGGTGTGGATCTTTAACCCCAGTAAAAACCTGCGTGCCTCCTTTACACTGGATTAAGTTGTTGACAGTAAAGAGGACTTATATTTAGAAGTCAGGTTTCATGAACTGGATGAAAAGATGATTCTATTGGCTTAGCCCCTAAAGTTATTTAGCACGTTAACTCTTGATGTGAACGTTTCACCTGAGTACATTTTAGGTTGCACTTCATACTCAGCAAAAGCGCACCACCCTCAGGCTTTCAGGAGAGGGAGGAAAGGAAGGGAAGGACAGGTCCACAAGTCCAGCAGCACCGAGACTCCTATTTCAACAGGGCCCCAGGGTCTGAGCAGTGCCTTCTGCAGATCATGTCCTCGAAGTGCCAGCAGAGAACCCAAGGGTGCGAGGGATCTGCAACCTGGCCTTTCTGATGTACTCCTCCTCTTTCCTGCCTGCAAAGGGAAGGGGTGGTTTTAGACGATCTCATAGAATTAGCTAAGCCAAACATAAAGCAAAGCACAACAAAACAAAAACATACCCTAGATCACTTGGAATCTTCAGCCTCTTTAGGACCAGTCAATATGACATCACTTTCTTCCCACCGGAGATATGAATATTCTCCTAAATAACATAGAATCCTAATGAAAACATTCTCACAGAAAAACAAGAAAGAGACACAGCTGTCTCTTAAACTTTAAGTTTACAGAAGAAAAATACAATTTTATTTCTTAAATATTTTACATACCTAAGAAAGAGGGAGTGAAAGTTACACTGTTTTTTTTCAGTAGGGGTAATAGATGCTGCCACTGAGAAAATCTTGTTATCAGCTTTGCAACAAAACACCACCTATTCCATGGATTAAAACAACAGTCAACACTTCTGTGACGTCTGTGTAGGCACTGCAGGGCCGGACTTTGCTCTGGATCTCAGGGCAGAAACACAGGTGTCGGCCAGCACTCTGATCTGGTTTGGCAGCGTTTGCTTCCTGCAGTTGCAGCACTGGCCTCCTGTTCCCTGCCAGCTGTGACTGAAGGACAGTTTTCCATGTCTGGAGGCCACCGTCTGTCTCCATACACAGTGCACAAAGAAATGCTCGCTGTCTCCTGGGCCAGCAGCATGTTTCTGTGGCTTTTACCTCTCCTGGAACCAGCCCAGAATACATTTTTTGGCTTTAAAAAAATGCCACGTGATTTGATTAGGCTTGAAAGAACACTGGCAGTACTGGCAGTACTGAACCCAGGAAACGTTGAGCTACAATCCCAGCCCATCTGTCTGTCTGTCAATCTATCTATCTATCTATCTATACAGGTCTCACTATGTAGCCCAGGCTGGCCTCGAACTTGCAGTGATCCTCCTGCCTCGGCTTCCCAAGTGCTGAGATTGAAAGCATGAGGTTGACTTCAGCAGGGCCTTTGCATTGAGCTATGCCCCTACCTTTAATTAATTCATTCATTAATTTGGGTAGTGGGGATTGACCTTGGGTCCTCGTGCTTGCAAGGCAGGTGGTGGAACCACTGAGCTAAATCCTCAGCCTCCTAACCTTTTTTATTATTGTTATTTTGAGACAGGGTCTTATTAAGTCAACAAAATGCCCAGAGTGGGCTTAAATTTGCAATCTTCTTGCTTCAGCCTCCCAAGTAGCTGGGATTATAGGCATGCACTGTAACTCTCAGTTCTTTTCTCTATTCTTTTTTTGGTACTGGGGATGGAACTCAGGACCTTGTGCTTGTGAGGCGGGTGCAGCACCATTGAGCCAAATCCCCGGCCCCTTTTCTCTCTATTCTTTTTGTTTTGTTTTGTTTTTTGTTTTTTGAGACAGGGTCTCACTATGTAGTTGAGACTGACCTGGAATTCACTGTAGCCCAGGCTGGACTCGAACTCACAGCGATCCTCCTGCCTCAGCCTCCCGAGTGCTGGGATTACAGTCGTGTGCCACCACGCCCGGCTTCTCTCTATTCTTAATGGAGGAAAACACCTGGCTGATAATCTTTCTTAAAGCAAACTGTGTCATATGACATAATCTCATCACAGGGAAGAACTCATCGTGGTCATGGTCATGGCATTATGCAGGGTGTGCAACAGGGAAGGGAAATCTTGGGCACCAGCCATCTTTGAATTGTACTCACTACAGTCTTTCACCACAGCCATTGCTGCAGGAACAGTAGTGTCTTAGTTATCTTTCTTGTTGCTGAGACAAATTACCTGATATCCAAAGTTAAAGGAGGAAAAGTTTATTTTGGCTCAGTTTGAAGAGGTTTCAGTCCAAAGTAGGCTGGCTCCAAGGCAGGGTGGCACGGCAGAGGGGCCTGGCAGAGGAGAAACAGTTTGCGGCATCTCAGGGCAGGCAGAAGGCAGCAAAATAGGCAAGTAGGGAAGCAGCAGCAAGTGACCACTGTAGACCCTTTTCTGTCTCTTATATTCTACTCAGGCTACATGGCCTTAGGGTGGGTACTCACACCCGGGATGGAGCTTCTATGATCCACACCCAGAACCATGCCAAACCAATCTGTGTGCTGATTTTGCAGTCACACACCTTGATCCCAGCATCCCAAAAACCCAGCATCACATACTCTAGAACCAGCCACCTCTGAAAAGCCCCACCTATGACTACATGAGACCCTGGGGGAACATCTAGACACAAGCTATAACAAGTAGCATCTAAGGAGCAAGTGAAACAAGATAGCCCCACTGAGGAGACCAGGAAGAGAGACCAAGGAAATCAGGACAAAACTAGAAAAAACGTCTGATAGCTGGGTCAGCAGTGTTTCCAAAGTTTCCTGTGTTAAGTGTTGGTTGCCAGCCTGAGGGCTACGGTGGGAGTGGAATCCTTAGGAGGTGGGGCCTCATGGGAAGAAGTGAGGTCATTGTGGGTGTGGCCTTGAAGGAGCTATTCTGACAGATGCCTCCCTCCCTCTCTTTGCTTCCCAGCAGCCCTGAGGTGAGAAACCCTACCCCATCAATACTCCCCTTGGTGCTCTGCATCACCACAGGCTCCACGTGTGGGGGTGGGGGTCATGTGACTAGGAACTGAAACCTCTGAAACTGTGAGCCAAAATGAATCTTTCCTCATAAGTTGATCATCGCAAGTACTTTTTCACAGGAATAGAAAGCTGACTAACTGAACTGAAAAACATCTGCTCCGGTAAGAAGCCACATAGCCTCAGGATTAGAAGCAGGAGCACTGCAGCAGCCTTCACTCTGCCTGGCCTTGGACAAGGTGTTGAGCTTCGTGGCTGCTTCTCTGTAAAGGGTCAGCAGCGGCACTCTATGCAGGACAGAGGTGTTACGGAGATTAACTGAGAGCACGCGTGCTAAAATGAGTAGGAAAGTGTCTCTGAGAGTAGGAAGCTATAATCAACAATTGCCAAGGTTCTGAAGGAATTCCATCTGTTTATACCATATTGGCCAACAGAGAATATTATTTCTAGTCCCCCTAGAAATAAAAAATTCTTTATATAGTTTCAGCTGTACAGCCCTTGAGATATACTAGCTCTTTAGGAGAGGTTTGAACCCACTATCTAATAATAAAGTGCAATAGATAAATAGAATTATTATATGCAGGCACTAAGATTGAGAACAATGAAGACGTTAAGGTTCTTTATTAAAAATTTAAATTTAAAAAGTATAGTGGAACATACATAATAATTTTACCATTTTAGCTCCTCCCCCTCCCTTTCCCTAGGAGTGACCAGGGCCTCATGCATGCTGGGCAAGTGCTCTACCTCTGAGCTACACCTCCAGTGCTGTTTTGACCATTTTTATGTGTGGTTCAGTGGTGGTAAGAACACTAAGGTTGTATAACTATCACCACTATCCATCCCCAGAATGTTTTCACTGTCCTAAGCTATAACTCACCATCCATTAAATAATAACTCCCTGGTCTCTGTTCTCCTTAGCTCCCTGCAGCCACTATTCTACTGCCTGTCTCTATGTATTTGATTATTCTGGGTACCTCAGACAAGTGGGACCATACAATGTCTGTCATTTTGTGACTGGCTTATTTCACTTAGAACAGAATCCTCAAGGTTTACCAAGGAGCAGCGTGTGTCAGAATTTCTTTACTATTTATTTAGTACATATTTGCAGTTCATGCATCTTTACTTTTTTTTCTGGTATCAGGGAACAAACTCAGGACCTTGCACTTACAAGGCAGGTATGGTGCCACCAAGCTAAATCCCCGGCCTGCATCTTTACTTTTTTTTTTTGGTACCGGGTTTGGTACTGGGGATTGAACTTGGGTCCTTTGTCTTGTGAGGCAGGCTGCTGCATCTTTACATTTTAAAGCTTTGGTTTTTTTGAGACAGGGTCTCACTACCTTGAACTCACTATGTAGCCCAGGCTGGCCTCTAACTCACTGTGATCCTCCTGCCTCAGCCTCCCAAGTCACCATGCCTGGCTCCTATTTTTAATTTTTTTTTCCTCATTGAGTGTATTGGTACATTTTAGGTGTACAGTACAGTTACATTCATTATTGGGATCTTGTACCTCTACATGACAGGTCTGGGTTCTCATTTTCTCCCCTTGTCCCTGCCCTCCCTTCACTCCCTCCTCCCCTCCCCATTTATAAACATTTTATTTCCATTTTTTCATTTTCTCCTATTTTTTCCTTTCCCTTATTCTTATTTTATTTTATTTTTTTGTTTGTTTGTTTGTTTTTTGTTTTTTGAGACAGGGTCTCACTATGCAGTGAGACTGGCCTGGAACTCACTATGTAGCTCAGGCTAGTCTCGAACTCCAGCAATCCTCCTGCCTCAGCCTCCCAAGTGCTGAGATTACAAGTATGCGCCACCATGCCTGGCCCTATTTTAATTTTTAATGAGCACTGAACTGCTGTAAAATTCTTTAAGGCAAGGATCACATCTCCACCTCTCATTTTCTACAGCTTAATATTGTATACAGTATTTCCTATCAAAATATTTTAATATTCGTGCTGAATGAATCTTTTCTTGAGTGAATTATAGAAGACCTTGTTTGGATTAGAAAAAGTGTATGAGTGGGCATAGTCTGTTTATCTTTTTTTTTTGGTGCCAGGGATTGAACTCGGGTTCTTGTGCTTGCAAGGCAGGTGGCGGAATTACTGAGCTAAATTTCCAGCCCATATCTTGAACATGTCTACACCAAATTCACTAAGACAGAAGGAACACTCAAATAGACAATATTATTGACAATAAGGTAAACTGGAACTATAATTTTTCTGGGAAATATTTAAGTGGCATCATTCCAAACTGAATTCAGTACAAAGGGGTCTTCTTTTGCTTCTACATAAGGCATATAGAATAGTTTTGGTGACTGAAAGTGTGCTTTTCTAGAGCAGATTGGGGTTTGGAAGGAGGAATATAAAAAGAGAAAGAATATAACAGGAGAGAAGTCAAGGATTAAATGCACCTAAATAATTAGACACAGCAATTAGGGAATATAGAGCCATCCAAAGGGAAGAGATTTGGGGAAGTAAAATGAAAAAAGCTCTTAGTATTGAAATTAGATATGGTAATAGGCAATTTAGGTTTGGAGTTGTTTGGGAATCTTGAAGTCTTAATTTACATGGGTTGATCTCACACTGAAAAAGTACATAATCACTACTGAGACAATGGATCATTGTTGGAATCCAATAAGTAAATGGTTTTGCTTTTCATAAGTGTTTTTATGTGAATTTATTCTCTAACTGCATCCTGGGTTTGTGAAGCTAGTCTGAAAGGGAAATGATTACATCCTAGGCAAGTCAGAATGTCTTTTTATATTGTGACCGCTGTTACCATAAAAGATCCCCAGTGAATATGTGCCATTTCGCTTTCCTTCCATCTCAAACTTGCTGCAAGTAGCTGACAGGCAAATTTGGTTGGAGGTAACGTACCCCATCAATAAAGAAGAGATTTTCAGCAAAACATCAGGCATTGTGGAGAAGAAAAAAGTCATGTGCCACCTAATAACTTCTAGGGACACAAGGAAGCAAAAAGTAGAAAGTGTGAGAGGACCCTTTGGAAAGGGATTGGAATTCCCTCATTATGGTTTCTCCTATAATTTTGAAAAGAAATAAACACAAAGGTAAACGTTGGATTTGATATATTTAACACACATTCAGAACAGCTCAGGTCACATGATGCTGCACTAGCGCGATAGCTAATGTCACAAAAACAGACGCCTCTCCAGTCGTAATGATATGTGAATTATCTAAGGGCATTTTAAAAAGGCAGATTCTGACTTTTTAGTCTGGATTGGGTCCCACAAGTTTTTATTTCCAACACACTTTCTTGTGATGGCTGCAATGGTAGAGAGATCAACTTAA